CAACCTTTTATCTGATCCACATTATATTAAATCCCCATTGATTCTGGGACATTATTGCACTCTAAAAAAATGGTGATAAAATATCAGTTCGAGTCAAACAGATGAGGACAATACTTGAATTATTCTAATAAAAGCTAATTCATTATAAGACTGTACTGATGCAGCACAGCTCCCTATATTACACCGATATATATATATATATATATATAGTTGGAGATATTGTTACAAAAGCTTTCTCTTCAATTAACGTTGGTAGTTCCAATTCCAGTTACTCATCCATCATCTGGCCAACGATGAACAATATTTAAACTTTCGAAATAATAGATCAACACAATCCACTTTATTGTCTGGATTTATTTAGCAGTTAAGAATAAAATACGAAGGAATAATTGGTGTGTTTTGGTCTTTATGCTCCTCATCTTGACTAAAGTCCTGAGCAGGATTGTTTCCTAATATATCATGAAGCCTTTTAGCTTATATTACTTATTCTGTATATATACTTTGTACTATTTAGCTCTGGTACGAAATATGGCCTCTTATATACTCAGTTGAAAAGATCTCTACTCTAACATGCATATTTTATCATGACATTTTACCAAAGATTTTAATAGTTTACTTGTGGTTTGACTTTGAAAAGACGGAAGGACTATCTAGAATTTTTAGAATTCTTTTAACATCTTCAAAAGTTATTTCATTCTTTCTCCTATTGATTGATAACGATACTTGTTTGTGGGACATGAATTAACTTTCATGTTTAAAATGTTTAAAACAGATCTTCGTCTTTGTTTTGCCTTAAATACGATTTAATTTTTCTGTGCAACTTAAAAATTCTTTATATGCACCATATTCTCTGCATCAGCCTTTCACTAACCCATGAAGTAGATTTTTTTCCATTTATTCACTTACTTGCTTGATACTTTATCATTACTCAAACTAATTTTAACTGTTTGCTCTGATGTCAACAATATTTATCTCTTCTTCCTCACACCTTCAGCCGTGGCGTTCCACTGAATCAGCTTGCCTCCTTATTAGCACTGCCTGGACCAAGCGAGTTAAGTGCTCAGGAAGCCTTACTGACCTCTTCAAGCTCTGGCTACAACCGGACTACTAATACCGAGATTACTTCTGATCTAGATGCTGATCCTTCGAGTCGCGGACACGGAACCCTAGCCTCGGGCCTATCTGTACCAAAGAGGCGACCCAGTGCAGCAGCTCATCTGATGCATAAGGAATTGCTAGCTGCCACCAGCAAAGTCGCAGGCGGCATAGCAGGGACAGAAGTGGCCACGGCGGGAGGGCCCGCACCACCTGTGCATGCCACAGTGAATGTGCTTGCTCGTTCGCACAACCCTTATGTGGTGGATGGTACGAGGGCCAAGACCCCGGGCTCGGTGGGCCCTATTTTGATTGGGCCTGCATTAGAAGCAGCGCTGTGTGAGCTAGACGCAGATACTGGAGTCCGCGACGCCTTCCCTACTATGGACGCGACCATTTGGCAGCGTCTCTGTCGTCTGCGCCGCAGGAAGGTTGAGAAGGAGATTGAGGTTAAGGCTATAGCGCAGAAGTTGGCCGAAATGAACGCTTTTTTACAGGTTAGTTTTTATGCTGTTTATTATAAGTAAATTGTATTCGTTTTAGCTGGATTTTTTCTAATTTAATGCATTAGGACAAACCATCCATTAGAAACTTCCGGGTCTTATTGCATCGTTTTTCCAAAAGAATTTTTTTGATTTGCTGTAGAGTACAAGATTCAGATTTTTAATAAGATTTTAAGAGTCAGCTTATAAGTATTCGGTTGGGAATATTTGATCTATAAAGCCTACAAGTTAACGGCTGGATTGGAAAACTAGTCAAGAATACACTTTTTAGTCAAAGTATAAGCTTCCGAGTTTTTGTAATCTACCAATAATTCATAAAGGCAATCCGTTTAAGGTTGTGGTGTTTAATCGCTTTAGCG